GAGATTTTGAGGAAAGGGAAAGAGAGGCAAATGCATATTCGATTCTCCGTCTGTAGTCGTAGTTAATCGATACTGCGTGGCTAAAACAGAAGCCGATAAAGCGCACGCCAACGACCGTTACTACGATAATAAATAAATATTGATTATTGCGCGATATGTATATATATAGAAGGCAGCGTAGAGATGCCTCCTTTACGGCTCACACCCCGCCGCCATTCTCTCAAGCGATAACCGTAATCAATGTATAATTGATGCGCTCGTAATGACTTTCCCGATGACGAAGAAGAAGAAGGAGAGGAAGGAAAGAAGAAACCGGAAGGACCGGAAGATAATGTCAGTGGTACCACGACGACCAGGTATTGTGTTGTAAAACGCGGTTAGACAGATCACTCGTAATCGATGATAATCGACTGCAACGCGTACGATAACGCGATAACACGTGTACATAGAAGCGAAAAAAAGCATGACGTTGCTAGATTACGAAATCCACGATTGCGAGTCGCACACTAAATTCCGCGTGTCCGCAGATCGATTGCGTCGCCTCGACTTAGCGTGATTCAAATCGCGGGAATCGAAGCCCAAGCTCGATTAATATTATCATAGATTTTTATTGTAAGAAGAGAAGGGCAAACTAAAAACTTGGTGCAATTGTAAGCGTATAAATATTTACGATAATTGTAAGCATTATCAAAAGATATGATATTAAACGTCAAACATTTTGGTCCATTTTGAATTCTCCTCGATAACTCGAGTTAGAGGTCGGACTGCTATAAAGTTATATAAAAGTTATGTAACTGCAGTCTAGATTGTGCGAATCGAACAAACGTAGAATTGGGGTATCGATATTCATATGATTGAATTGTTAATGCTATATTAAATTATTCAATTGTTGCATATAATCATATTACGATAATTGTGACAATGTTATATTTGGGCGATGAATGAATTTCGCAAAATTACGCATAGCGGCATTGAACCGTTATTTGAAACACAATCTTGCACAATTGTCGCACAAAGATATTTTCTTTGTTATGTTATCTTGTCGAAATCTGAATCGTGGAAATCGTATATAGCTATATTTGATAATATAATTTCGCAAAATTATGCATAACAGCCATTATTTGAAATATAATCGTGCACGATTATTGCACAGAGATATTTTCTTGCATTATTTTGCCGAATTTCGAATTGTATTTGTATCGAGAATATTGTGTACATAATACAGTTATATAAAGGCTATATAACTTGCTGAAATCGCATAAATATTAAACGCTCATGATCGCACATTCGTCGTTAACGTTCAACGAAATACGTAGGCGACGTGCCGGAAGAATGGAGCGCCTTTCTTCATCCCTTCGAAGTCTCCAGACACCCCGTAAACGTTGCCAGAAAGTCCCAATCACGCGTCTTCCTGTAATCAAATCACCTCTCTCTACTCCTGCGTTAAGAAAAATAAGTAGCGAAAGATTCGCATGCGGAAATGAGACAAACGTTTTCGGAGTTTCTCGATAATTCCGACGATCAACGAAGACGAAACCTCGGCGAAAAACCCCTGTCTATAACTGAACACTTCAGGAGAATCAGGAGAGACTTCTAGCATTTTCGGCGATTATCGCTTTCCAATTTGATCATTAATACGTTCATTATTTCATAAACTGTAATTAAAATAAATTTTAATTTCAAGTTTAATTCCTTTCTTTTCTTTTTCGAGACGAAATAAACACCTGCGAAATCCAAATTTTTTGCAGTGTTTAAATTTTAGAGAAATCGAACGCGTCCCATTTTGTTTTGTAAATGTGAGCATGTCGCAATTAACAAGTATCTCCGCGTGTTACGTGACCATTCGTAATTATATCGCGAGACAATATTGCCAGTGAAGGCCGTTATCTGTCTGGTAGAGAGATGAATCGGGTCGCGAGATAATTGCAATCTCTCCTCCTTCCCTTTCTCTTCGACGAAATCAGCGATTTCCGTTTTCATTTGTCGTTCGCCGCTATCTCTTATCATTTTACACGTTCAGCGCATCCGGGATAGTTTCATTACACTTGCGCCCTTGGCGGGAATGTAGCTTGTCGGTGTAATTGAATTTTTCAGTCACCTCAGCCTTTGGCAGGAACGTGATTCATTAGCAGTGCAAACGACGGTGGAAAATTAGGACGGGCGTGCAAGGTAAACGAACGAACGAACGAACGGACGGATGAGAGGACGAACGAACGAACGAACGAACGAACGAACGAACGAAGAACGTGAGCCATGTGAATTAGATAAGTGTGTTCTGATTTCGTGCTCCGCGACCTACCAAAATTCCCGAGATCTTGCGTGAATCTTCTCCCGTGTTGTTTCCTTTGCGACGTGCTCGATTTATTCTCGTTGCTCCGTTCGCTCTAACGGATATACGAAAAACTCATGGGCGGAGTTTCGATTAATTATTTTAATAAATTTTACCGCGAGGAAAGAGTGTATGATGCAGCGACAGTTACTCCTAAATACTTTTTAATTTAATTTAATTTTGCAACTTTTTTTTATATGTGAGATTATTTATTTCGATTTACAACAATTAAAGTATTGAAAGAGTTACGCCGAAAAAAAAATATCACACGAATTCATTCAAGAATAGCAAGATTAGCTGATCCATCCTCGCCAGAGATATCAGATATTTTCATTAACTGTCTATCTAATTGTTTAATTACGGCAATTATTATTCTTATGTTTTTACGCTTTGGCCATTCCTTTCGATTGTTTGCGAAATCACCGCGATCGGTCCGGATCTTTGCAAACGCCCAGTTTGGACACGCTCCAAAGTTTCTGTCGCTCGTTCTTGCAGCTCTAGATTTACACATCGAGCGTAGAGTCACGTCGTCTCGTCCGCAGGATCAATGAGAGGAGGAGAACACGAGGAGGACACGTATGAGCGCTCGTACTTGTCTTTGATCGTTTAGGAAATTGCATCGCAAATTTCATTTTCGCAATGCGCGAGAGTATTACGTACGTGTACAGAGTTTGCCGCGCATGCTGTCCGCGTCATGCAGATATATGGCGTGCGTTACGTGTCATTCGAAAAAGCAAATGGATGAAGAAGATACGTGATTTCACGGCTTTCCGAAATTCCGTTCGCCGTCGTTTGCATCGCGCGACGTCGGCTACTTGGAAATGCATTGGAATACAAGCCAACAAGAGGTCCACGCTATTGGACTGTTGAGAGATTGACGCTCAAATTATAAATCGAATTATAATCGAGCGATACGAGTTTGATAGCTTCCTCCTCGAAAAGTTAAGTTTCGCGAACGCGAGTAAAAATAACGAGATCCTATTCCTTCGTTTAATCTTCGAAATAAAGCTTTACTTCAACTCAATTATTACCGGGATTATTTTAATTGTTGATAATTAAGGGATTGAAAATGGCGCCCGAAAATTAAATTTTCGCTGTATACGAGTACCTAGAATCACCGAGCAATCTGGTAGTCAAGACAACGGGACGCGACATTTGAAGTGTCAAGTATACCGGATGGTTCAGATTCGCTGTCTACTATTTAACTTTGATTAACGGATGATTGTGGTGACGTGAAATTGAACACCGATAAAATCACTAAAGGCGAAATTTCGTTTCAGCAATTAACAATTAAGAGAAAAAAGTAGGAGGAACGTCATTCAATACTTCAGAATTGAAAACGATGACCGGCATTTTTATATCACATTCTGTAACACATGTCGGTGCGGTCTGGCAACTTGATATTATTTAACAGGCGGATCATGTGCAGCATTAAATTGTGCTGTGATCATCAAAGCGTGCATTCAGAGGAGACAACAGCTGAATAGCAATTGAATCGCTATCGAATCTGATTCGTCGAATCTAGGAGTGCATGTCAATAACATTCAATTGCACATGCGATCGTTCTCGCCGTTGAATGCACCCATCATCGAGCTTTAACGTCGGCGCGCTTAACGAACTTACAACGCGATATAATCTTATTCATCCGTTCCGCGTTCGGAGAGCGTAAACGAAAGGAGAGACGACGAGGGGATATATTTAGAAATATAATAGGCGATCGCGCGCGCATCGCGCAAGAAACCCGTCTTCCTGCCTTGAAACTCCTGTTTTCTCGCAGCCCTCACGCGTCCGCGAACGGTCGGATTGCATTATTATAGCGTACTGTGCCACATGTACACGCGAATTAGAGATTGTACAAACTCATGTATATACATGCGCGCGAGAAACGTGGAGTAGGTCGTTAAGTAGCTTATTAAATCGTAAGGAATTATACATATATAGATATGTGTGTGTGTGTGTGTGTGTGTGTGTGTGTGTGTGTGTGTGTGTGTGTGTGTGTGTGTATTACTGTATTAAACTAAATTGATTTTTTTTGTATTTATACTCATTCTATTAATGAATAACGATCGACAAACCGTTTTTTTCCATGGCTTCAAGTCGTGTTTGAGCATGAGGATTCTAATGTTTACATCTTGCCCAGGCTTGTAAACCGGCTTATCCGTCTCGACGAATGTAATTAAGGAATCATGTTCGATGTAAACTTCCTTTTCCGTTTCCACGACATAGTCGGGATATTTATCGAATTTTATTTTCAATCGCAATCGTCCATTGAAGTATTTCGTAAAAGGTACGGCCAGTTCAAGGCATGTTTCTATTCCTATTAACAAACATTAGCGAATCAATATTTGAATTTTGTTCTTATTTTTTAAGCAATATTTGATATAAATTATTTAATGACAAGTCTCTAATAGCATAAGAATAAATTGATTTGTTTAATTGTCGCGTTAGCAATCGCCATTAAATACGACCACGTAATTTCAAATGATTCGAATTAAAACGATCACGCTTAAAAGATGTTTTTAATAAGATAAAAATATTTTATGTTTAATATAAGTAGAAATAGCTATAAGTAGAAACTGAAATAAATATATCTGAACTAAAATGTACATAGATGTACACCGCAGAAACATGTTATCTTGCTAACAAAAGTACGGATGCTGAAGGATGTATCGAAAGGAAGAAAGAAAGATGTATTTGCATATTAAGCCATTTACATCATTTTTACATCATTAAATACTCTACCGCGTAGAATCTTCGCTTCGCAAACTCTATTGACCACCTTATCTTTTTAACGATTCATCGATAAATCTTTCCGCACATCTGCGACAATTCAATCTTAAACGATACGATAAACTCGGACCTTGATCAGGCCCCGTACTTGTTGTTCACCCCGTGCATAACAATACAGATGGGTTTCCCATGTGATCCCGAGCGATTACTTATTTCCCCTTCGGCGAGAGACTCGGCTCATTTAGCTCCCCCGCAGGAAGCGGCGACAATTTCAATTTATGATTTGTTTAAAGCGTCCGATTCGAGCTGCGAGGGAAGAAGGAGGAAAGACCGGGACGCGGTTCAGTAGCGTAGCCGAGTGCCCGAAAATAAACTCTTCGTCAAATTCCTAAATAAATCACATAGTCGGTTCTTTATCGTCCCGAGCAGCTTCACCATTGGTTGACAAAATGTCGACCAGACGTTAGCCAAAATTGGTAACCCCGATGTTGGTTGATCGGTTTGTCAATCGATATGTGCTGCTTGGGATCCCTTTAAGGACTACTCGTTCGCTCGAATATCGCCCTTTCTTCTCCTATCTCGTTGCTACGTCCCTGAATAGAACATAGGAATCCGTCGTATTTTCGACGATTACACGTTATCGCGCACGCGACGCGATAACATGCCGGGTCGTATTCGAATACTCGATTATCCCCAGACGTAAATACGCGAGCCTCAAACTCTGTACCTGAGAAATAGAGGAACGCGTAAATTAAAAGATTACAGGAACATTAAGCACGGAAAAGTATTCAATATCCCGGTGTATCTTCGCGTATTTATTTTCTACACGAAAATAATAGTTTTTTGTTGAAGTGTCTAAAAATTTGGCTAAATATAGATATAGAATGAAAAATAATAGGACCATCAGAATTATTATTATAAAACATTTAGGCACGATGATAATACGGCAAAATTTTTTTATATAATTTTTTTTGGCAACTTTGAATTTTAACGATTAATTTGAACGTCTTCCTATAAATATATTAATGGTCCATGGTAAATTATTTTCAGATTTGTATCTAGCAAAATTTTTAAATACTTCAGCGAAAGTGTTTCTTCTGTCAGTTGTGGGGCGCTCTATTTTTGGGGAAAAATATTGCGCAAATTAAACTTTCGAAAATTGGATGATATATCGTTTAGAAAATTTGAGAAGGACTTGCCTGTCTTGACGATGCCGTTCGTCCTGGTAAGTATCTCGTCATCCGCGCTCGTACCCGCCGGAGACAGCAGCTCCAGGACAACGTGCGCCGGTGGCTCGAGATTGTGCAGCGACAAACAGCCGCTCTCGGTTTCGCCGGCCACGAATCTTCTTGGCGCGGTGAAGACGTATCCTCTAAAGGAACAATCGGAATTGCCGATTAAATCAAGCGCGAGAAGCGTACTAATTCTATTAGCGTAGATTGACTTTAATCGCTGATTTAATCTGCTGTTCTTTAATTCTAATCTTCTTTAATTCTAAAAGTTAGAAAAAGATAAAGAGTAGGTTAAATCGAGATTAAAGTTAATCTACTAATTGGTGAAAATAAATGTAAAAAGGATACGTGGGAAGAATAGTTTTGCTGGAGGATTTAAAGATTTAGCCAGATATAGATGTGAAAATAATTTTATTATTACGGATGTTTAAGATGTTTATGATGATAATATTGAAAAAAATTGTTTCTAGCAATCAATTTTTGACGTTCTACAAAAATATTTTATTGATGGCCCGACAAAATTATTTTCAGATCTGATCGAATTTTTAGATGTTTCAGTAAAAGTTTTTTTTTATCTTTGAGACGAGAGATTCTTCTCAATCTTTGAGAAAACTTTGGACTAATTTCTTAGCTTAAGTACAGTTAATATTCAGTTTTATAACAAGGAATTACAGTTGCTGATAGAAGACTAAAGAATATGATTATTATAATTGTAACATCACCCAAGTTTTGAAAATCCAAAATTTCTCCATTTAAACTCCTTAAACGGCAAAGCGCAAGAGATACGTTCAGGAAAATCACTTCACTCCAAAATTTTCTCAAAATTCGGATTTCGTCTTGATAGCAAAAGTACGCTAGATACGCATGTTAAACATATCGCTCGGACATTTCGCAATCTGTTACGTACGCTGTTTTGTACATCTTTAAGTAGTGTTTTTTTTTTTTTTTTTTTCCCCTAAGCTCTCATGGCTCAGCAGAGTCTTACACTCTCGCGGAGTTTATCATAAGGAAAAATCGATGTAGCTATTATTAAATTAGCGCGTAACAAGCCATCGCTAGCATTATTCCCGGCGATAACGAAGAATCCGCGAGCGTGTAATCGATGACCGCCGAGAGTCGTCCGACCGTTATTTTCGCCAAGGATGCCGAAAGGGTTGTCTTTACCGATTGGCAGTCGTGCCGCCTTCGCAGGGCAGTAGGCACGCGTGGAACAGGCAGAGAAGCACGATTAACTTATGCATGATCGACTCGAGGTTTGCACCGTCCGACGCGTGGTTCTCCAGAGAATCTCAGATCGTCACGGGCATATTAACGAAAGAACTTCCACACTCCGAACTTCGCGATGCGCTTCCTCTTCCCAGCTCGAGAGAGAGAGCGGCGGGAAAACAGCAGTCAACGAGGAGGCCGCGGACCGACTGAAGGCGCGATGTTCGTGCCGGCTACTTTTATCATTAACCCCCTCGAGCCCGTGCAAGGAGGAGAGGGTTACGCGCGGGGGGGGGGCGCGGGTTAAATCGCGAGTACCGGCCACGTCGCGTCGCCGGCCACCGACCGTGCGACGCTTTAGTGTCCTTTCCTATGTCGCCGGTTTCGCCGGAATTGGCTTCCTGGGAATTGATGTCAGTTCTCCAGTTCCGAGCCAGCCAAGTAGAATTTCTTTATTTATTTCGTGTACTCCTCCTGGATCTCTACGCAGGGATTCTCGATGCCTCGCGTTCGCGTGAGAATTAAAATTCCGTTCTCCCAAAATTTCGAACCAAACTGAATTTCTTCTACCTGGCGAGTCCTTTAAATCACAAGTATGGTAGAAAAAAGTCACCTCGAGAAGTCCGATCAGCCCGAAATCTTGTTTTAGAAAATATTGATCTTCTCCCATGATCCGTCGCCGAACTTCGAGATCTCTCTCCTCGTGAATCACTATAATTTCAATTCGAGACCAATATAAGCCTGGGGCGCGAATGCACGATAAATTGATGCATAAATTATAGTTATCCATCGAGCCAATAAAATAGAATTTGTTTATTTATCCCGTCTCCTCTTGGATCTTTACGAAGAGATTCTTGACGTTCTCGTTCGAGAGTCCGTCTTCCTAAAATTTTAAACTCTCTTACTAGGGGACGCCCTTTAAAAGTATACGATGGAAAATCACTCTGGAAGGGCGCTCAACCCTTATTTTAAACATCCTTATTTTATAAAAGATATTTCATTATCCGCGCGAAGAGCTTTCCATTTTCGGAAAGAGAATAATCAACCGTTCTCGTAATCAATTATTCGCTCATTATTCGCTAATTTATATTTCGGTAATACAAGAAATGTATAAAACAGAAATGTATAAAAAAAAAAAAACAAATAAACGCGCCCTCGTGTCTTGCTATGTCTGACGATCGTATGGGCATCGCGGGTATCACGTGAAGCGACTTCCACCGAGTGTTATTCCCGGTTTTCCAATGATTCAACGTAACTCTCGTAACTTCGATAACCCTCGTCGAGACGCGGGTTATCGTGTTCGCGCGCAATCTCGTCTCTTCTCGTTCCCGGAACGCGCACGATCGCGCGTTTATTGCAAAAATCGGACGGAAGTAATAGAAGAATTGCCTACGAACGAGGAAATCAAGGAACCAAAATAAATCAAGGAACCTTAAGTCCACCTTAAGATCGATGATGACCGATTCCGGTCTTTCGGGAAATTAGCGTGAAACTATAGATACGTTGACGCGTCAACGCGTATTTACGTAAATTACCTATGTAAATTCGAGATCGCGTTGTAAGTAATCTTAACCCGCGAATTTGCTTGCGCGTTTCTGTCTTCCTGTCCAAATATTCGGCCGCGGCCGTCGTGCGAGAAACGGCAATGTTTTATCTTCGCGGAGCAGTGGGAGAGCTGATATTTTATGATTCGACTCATCAATTTCTGTGACGACAAGCAACAATAATACGATAAAAAAAATAATCGAATTATACGGAACGCCAATAATAATGTTTCTCGAATGATTAGAGACGCGCGAACTTTTAAACGGGAATCACGCGTCTTAATTATACTTTGATACATGCGCAAATTCATAGTGCATTGAAAAATGATTATGACTTCACCTGAATTCGACATAAATGTGCGCATATTGACGTATTTGTAAAGAGTTCAGGTAAAGAGTTTTCCCCTAATTTTCATAAAAATATACTCTTGGAATTTTAATGACGTATATTCCTCGTGTATCATCATCGTATGTCCTATGCGTATGAATGATATGAAAAGAGAAACCACGGAGACCTCTGTCGAAGATGCCATAAACTATGCAGTCCTGATTTTTCTATTACTATCTTACATTCATTACTTTTTATAATAGGATTATAATAATAATTATCTAATTTCTAATAATGAATATTCGTGTTATTCGCATGATTAATTAATTAATTAATTTATTTATTTATTCTCTCTTCATTTGAATATTTTTACCTCTGTAAAAAAATTTAGAAAAAAAATTTTAGTTATTTATAATTTTAATTAAAGTAAAAATTTGAATAATTAAGAAAGAAAAAGAAATATTATATTATAGAAATGATACATTTTAGTAAATGTCTGTGCGAAAGAGACACAAAGTCAAAGAAGGAAAATGCGCGCGAAATATTTCCTAAATTATTAAACACTTTGAGTAATTCGAATGTATCTTTGTGTTGTAGATCAACGTTGTCAGTTCTGCTGCTGCGCGTTATATTTATAATATTTTTCAATTTAACTTACAGTAATAAGTTTGTGAATAGGAGCAATAGAATTATAAATAATACGAGTAAAATTAATTATATAATATAATAAAAATAATATGATTAAAATAGGCAAATACAATCGCTTCTTCAGAGATTCATTGCTGCAGGTAGCACAAATTGATATCAAGAATTTAATTACTATCCGTCGATTCAGACGGTTACTGTTATTTAGTAGATATAAAAAAAAAAGATATAAATAGTACGCAGTTACTTCGAGAGAGGTCTCGACGATCCCCTCTGGCAACTCATCACTTCGAAACGGCACGCAAAGCTAAACCGCTAAACCTAATCAAATTTGCAGTCGCTGCTGCCGGCTTGATCGCCGACGACATTTCGCGAATTGGAGAATAGTAAATTAGATCGGCTTCCCTTAAGAGGGAATTTAGAACATGGAATAATAAATTAAAAAAAGAATAATTTAAAAATTATGGAATATCGGAATGTACAATGTATACATACAAAATTCTAAATTTCCTTCTAAAATACAATATATTATATTGCATATTATTGTCATAAAAGACAATTTTTGAATTTTATTCACATTTCTGAAATTTGTGATTTATATTTTTTTGTGATCTTTTTTAAGATATAAATTCTTTTATATAGTACATACTGTTTTGTTAAAAGAAGATATTATATTACATTAAGTTTAAGTACAAATTGGTTCATCACTTGATTTATCTATAATTTTTATCAAGATATTTGGAATTTGATCATGTTAAATACTATATGGATTAGGTTATCTGCTTCGATTCGTTTCGAAAACGCAGCGTTTTTCAATAGATATCGGATTGAGCCGCTTTTAGCGTATTTTTCGCAATTGCTACAGCCTAAAAGTGGATCATACACGTGAACAATTGCTGAGAGTGCCTCTCGTGATGTCAAGATCGTTTATGCATTACATTGCAATCGTTACGTGCCGATATCACGGTTTTGCTTCGATTGCCCCGCCAAACTCAACCGATTTGTCAATTCGGCAATGTGCTGTATTTGGGTTAATAAGCCTTTTGCCTTTCTGAAATTATTTTTTTATCTTTTATATTTGAACGCGATATACCTTCTAGAATTATATTTCTTACTTCTGTCAAATATTACTTTAGGATTATTTTAATACATATTTGCGCATAGATTTTTTTTTTAAATTAAAATAAGATAAATAAGTTTAATTTTATCATTCATTAATATAATCGATATTGCGATGAATAGTGAATACTCTCAGGAAAAAAAAAAAAAAAACTATAAAAATTCGCGGTTTCATCTAATTGCGAAATTATCGCGTCGCGTATTGCCAACGCTAAATTAGTAGTCTACCGTACATTAACGGACTTGATTGCTAAATTATTAATTACTCCGAAAATTACTTTAGCATTTCATTCCGACACGTAATCATTTACCAGGACATCGTTAATTCCACGTTGTTACGTAAAACATTTCCGACGTTAAAAATATTTTCCGAAAAATGCGACGTGGAGAGGCACGAGCACGGCGAATTTCCATCGGGATTCACCAAACGACCTCCGCGGCTTTTAACCAATGGGGGCGAATACTCGAGTACGAAATATTTCCAGATCCTCTATTGGCCGCGGCCGCGGACCCATCGGAAGATACAGCCGCGTGAAAACGTTTCGTCGACCGTAAAATCCCTCCCGTAGGGATGCCATTGTGGACGAGCACGATTGCAAGGGAGTCCAAATCACGCGACATCTTTCGTATCGCGATTCGCGTTATCGAGGAGTACCCTCGTCGCGATCTCAAAAGGGAATCCTACGCAAAACTAGCTGAACGAGCTCGAAAACCGTCACGTTTTCCTGCTTTCACTTGTCACGTGTCAGGATTCCCGTCGCATCAACGCGTCGGGAATTTTCGCGGAAAAGAACGAGCAAAAATACGGACGTGGAGGACGACGCACGAGGAAAATTCGATCGACGTCGCGGCAATGCGGAGAAAATGTACTGACGAGAAAATTCGCCTGCTTTTCCGATCGATTATGTATACATATATATGTGTATATAATATACGTAATATATTATATACGTGTGTATTTATATATATTTTATATGTATATTTTTTATACACATATATATATATATATATATATATATATAAAACTTCGCGTTGCGCAAGGTCAATGGTAAACGCGAAAGTCAATGTCGAAGGTGAACGCCACTTGACGGCGAAAAACGCCGACCACCAGATTTGATTCTCGTCTCGTAGTTAATTATTAACATTGTTTATAACGTATTTAATATATTATATATTCTTGATGTATTTTAGGAAAGAACACTTTTGCTGGCAAATCCAAAAATTTGACTATCCAGAAATAATAATAATTTTGTTAAACCTTCAAAATGATTATGTACACGAAAAGAACAAATTTGAAAAATAATGTTGTTAAGCCATTAAAGTAATTACATAGGATTTTCAAATTGATTGTTAGAATATATTACAGAAAATTTTACAGTTATCATGATATTCAAATGTCCTACATAATAATTTTGATGCTCCAACAAAATTATGTTTTAAATTTGTATCTAGCCAAATTTTTAAAGACAAAAATTTTCAAGTTAAAAAATTGTTGCAGTATTATTATTATTATGTTCAAGCATTTTGTATAATAATTTTGATCCAACAAAATTATTTTCACATCTAGTCCATATCTAGTCAAATTTGTTTAGATTTGCCAACAAATTCTCTTCATGTACGCAAATTTTTCAATTCAAGTGCTTTTTCTATGAAATATTTCAGCATTGAAAACACTATGATATAAAGACATGTAAAAACACGGGAACACGCTAACTAATCCCAAAGCACGCTAATTATCATGAAAATTTACTTACCCCTTATATTATATTATATTCATATTGAATATATTCCCGTTAATATACCTCATGTATAACGCAAATTATTATGTATTAATATACATACTACCCGCAATGCTAATGATACAAAATTGTATGTCATTATAAGATGCATTGTTTCCGACCTCTCGTTGATGAGTTATGAAAAATGTAAAACGTTAGAGAAAATTCTAAAAGCGTCATATACGACTTTAAATATCATACGACTTAAAAGTTATATAAGACTTTTGCTGGCAAATCTAAAAATTTGGCTAGATATAGATAGATTTGAAAGTAATTTTATTGAATCATCAAAATTATTAAATAGGACACTTAAACATGACGGCAATACTGCAAAAATGTTTAATTTAATTTAATGCTTAATCTAATAATCAACAAAATTATTTTTAGATCTGTATCTGGCAAAATTTTTAGATTTGCCAGCGAGAGAGTTCTTTCCATGTATGACGGCAAAATTAAGGCCGTACCTTGAGAAATGAATGACGTATTAATCCGAAATTATTAATATATGAGGACAACGATAAAAATATCTTATCGCGATAAAAGCCTCCGCGACAGGCAATTTCGCATTTCGTTTAAAAGTTTACGTCGCGTCCCCGTCGTGCGCAGGCGGAGCTTTCAAATCTCCATGCATTTTTATAAAATCACCGTCCGTCTCGATCAATTAAAGAACCGTCGATAAAACGAAGACGGATTGACG